ACCGTTATCTTCCAGTGATCTCAAGGTGGTGTATATGGCTCTCCTCCTCCTCATTTCATCCTCACAATAGCCCTGTGAGGTTGGTTAGGCTGAGAGACTGACGGGCCCAAGGTCACCCAGCAAGCTTCTGAGCTGAGTGGGATTCGAACCCTCTCCCAGGTCAGAGTCCAGCGCTCTAACCATTACGCCACACTGGCTCACTTAGGACTTAATAGGTAGTGTAAAATCCCTGTAATTGGGGAACTGCCCTCGGAATGAAACCCACCGTGAGATCAGGCCAAGACATCTGAAGGCAGCCATGTGTAGGGAAGTCTTTAATGTTTGACGTTTTAGTTTGCTTTTATATTTGTGAGATACCGCCCAGAGTGGCTGGGGCAACCGAGTCAGATAGGTAGGGCACAAATTATAAAATTATTATTTGTATTTTCCAGAGGGGCCTTGAAGACCCATCTTTAAAAGTCCTTTAAAGCCCTAAGCGGCCTCGGTCCGGTATACCTGAAGGATCGTCTCCACCCCCATCGTTCTGCCTGGACGCTGAGGTCCAGCGCCGAGGGCCTTCTGGCGGTTCCCTTATTGCGAGAAGTGAGGTTACAGGGAACCAGACAGAGGGCCTTCTCGGTGGTGGCACCCACCCTGTGGAACGCCCTCCCAGCAGATGTCAAAGAGAAAAATAACGACAATACTTTTAGAAGACATCTGAAGGTAGCCCTGTTTAGGGAAGCTTTTAATGTTTAATAGGCTATTATATTTTAGTGTTCTGTTGGAAGCTGCCCAGAGTGGCTGGGGAAACCCAGCCAGATGGGCGGGGTAAGAATAATAAATAATAATAATAATAATAATAATAATAATTATCATCATCATCATCATCATCATCTCCTTTAATGGCTGTGCCCCATTGGCATGGTTTGGTTCTGGTTTGGTTAGACCAGTTGCTGCTTTTTGTTTCTTTAGTAAGACTGTGAACTGGAAGCTTTCAAGGGGTTTAAATCAGTGGGTTCCCGAACATTCTTGGGCCACTCCCCGGCTTAATAATAATAATAATAATAATAATAGTATTTATACCCTGCCCATCTGCCCCAGCCACTCTGGGCGGCTTCCAGCACATATAAAAACAAAATAAAACATGAACCATTAAAAAATTCCCAATACAGGGCTGCCTTCAGGTGTCTTTAAAAGTCAGATAGTTGTTTATTTCCTTGACATCTGGTGGGAGGGCGTTCTACAGGGCGGGTGCCACCACCGAGCAGGCCCTCTGCCTGGTTCCCTGTAACTTCCCTTCTTGCAGGGAGGGAACCATCAGAAGGCTCTCAGCTCTGGACCTCAGTGTCCGGGCTGAATGATGAGGGTGGAGACGTTCCTTCAGATATACTGGACCGAGGCCAGTGCCCTCAATCCTATAAAAATCATTATTCAGAAGAGTAGTTTGCGTGGCCCCATAAGGAAGATAATAAAATTCTACACAGTAACAATTTAACCGCATGCTCATCTGGATCCAACTGAAACTGTTAAGTTTAGTCAAGTCAACAAAATGGATGAACTTGAGCCAGCGATAGCAGCTTTCCAAAGTCTGATAGTCATTTACATCCACAGTGCCCCTTTGCCACCGCACCCTTGCTTCTGAGCGAGCAGCCCAGGCCATCCCCTCCCCGGGTACAAAGTCTTCCATTCGGGAACCTCTGGTTTAAATTAGGGTTTTAGTGCCTGCCTTTTTAATGTGGATTTTCTCAGCTGCTTGATGGAGCGTTTTTCTTGGAAAGAGCGCAGGCCATGAACCCTGCTGAAATAAATGAATAAGCAAATGAATTTAAAAACGTGCGATTCCGTTGGTTTTACCAGGCATTTCCGCCCTGCCCTCTCCTTGTTGGTTGGTTGCTTTGTTTGTTTACTTATTCTCCACCCATTTTTCATGGCAGGGACTTGAGCCAGGCTTCCGACGCCGCCATCGAACGGAAGAACGAGGCAGAGATGAACCTCATCCTCTCGAAGTGCACGGCGGCCGCAGACGCTTCTGTCGTTGCCAAGATCAACCTCGCCAAAGCTCAGCTTGGAAAGAAGTAGGGGGCTTCCCCCCCTTCTCCGCCCCGCCCCCCCACCTTGCAGCTCCCTCTTGGCTGAAGGAGTGGGGTGCAGGGGGTCAGTTTTGGACATCCCCTGTCCGGGGGGCATCAGCCGAGCTCTGGTGCAGAAGCACCATCCAGTGTTAGCCTTTTGCAAGGAGAAGAGAGCCAAGCTCCTTGCGTTGGCCATGGGTGAGTTTTCAGACGCACAAGGCAATTTCCTCCTTCCTTCCTTCCTTCCTTCCTTCCTTCCTTCCTTCCTTCCTCTGGATTTGATGCTACTGGATTCCAGTTGGTTTGGACGAGAGACGGAGTCACACGTGCGAACGAGGAATCCCAAAGCCTCTCTTCCCAACTTTCCTTATCAAATGCTTTTTCAATTGCGCTCTGCAAAACAACAGGCTCTTGGGCTTCTCTCTTGAGCTGTTTGTTTAAGAGGGGGGATGAATCCGTTTTCGGCGAGGAAGTTTGCTTGCCCGGATCCTGAACTGCCTCTCTGTGTGTGGATGTGGTCTTGGGGGGTCGCAGCCCACGAGTTCGTCGCCTGTACTGCCTGCATAACTATAATGCCATCTTCGTTTTATTTAATCCCCCTGTGAATTTGTAAAGTGGGAAGAATTTTGAGAGAACGAAAGGATTGTAGAAATAAACAACAGCTGCTCACATCGTGGTGTCATTTGCTTCTTCCATTCTCAAACGGTGCTCTGATCCTGCCCCCCCTGCATTTATGGTATTTTAGGTAAACTGGGATAATTCTGTGGACTGTTTTATTATTATTTATTATCCTCCACAATGGCTCTGCTCTGCCTCCAGCGTCAGAGGCAGCAATGGAAACCGCAGGAGAGGAGAGATATGGCTTGTGGTCGAATCCTGCTTGCAGGCTTCCCACAAACATCTGGCTGGCCACTGTGAGAACAGGATGCCATTGGCCTGATCCTGCAGGCTCTCCCTATGTTAAGCTTGCAGTCCACCAGCCCCACCTGCCTCTCCCCACAAGGATACTGGATGCACTGCTCCACGTCCCCAGCCACAAGGAGGCGCCAATCCCACACCATCACCCAGGCGCAGAATTTGCTTGGAAACGGGTACAGTATTAAGAGACAAAGGAGGTTTCTCCCCCCCACCCTTGCCATTGAGTGTTCAGAAAATAATAGAATAAAATTGGGAGGCCAGTCCTGCAGATGGCACACCTGCTTCCAACTCTGGTTGGCATCTGTCTCGGCAGCGGGGGTGTCAACTGGAATAAAATATTGAGGGGGGCAGGAAAGCAACACCCATCATCGTACAAGACATGGCACATGCAAACTATTTGAATGACAATGCCCATCAACTTGGGAAGGGGGACACAAATATTTTATTGGGGGGTGGCTGAAGGGACTCCAGCCACTAGGAGTTGGTGGTGTTAACGGAGAAATCTGAGGGCTCCCTTGGACAAAAAACAAGGACACCAGCCAGGAATACCAGAGCAAAACAGCAGCCAGTAGGCTTGGTATTTATTGAAGACTGTTGCGACAGGACTGCCACAAGGTGGAACAAGATGGAAGCCCCGAACAAAAGAGCCCCCAAACTTTTATTAGCTGCTAATCCCCATGTTATATCTCCCCCCAAACTACATCATGGTTACATCATGAAAGGGGAGGTCTGGGGGCAGTAATCTGAGCATCCTGGACCCTGCCCCATGGTTCTCCTTGCCCTCTGGTTGACCACAAACTTGACATGAGCCAACAGTGTGACGCGGTAGCTAAAAAAGCCAATGCAATTCTGGGCTGCATCAATAGGAGTATAGCATCTAGATCAAGGGAAGTAATAGTGCCACTGTATTCTGCTCTGGTCAGACCTCACCTGGAGTACTGTGTCCAGTTCTGGGCACCACAGTTCAAGAAGGACACTGACAAACTGGAACGTGTCCAGAGGAGGGCAACCAAAATGGTCAAAGGCCTGGAAACGATGCCTTATGAGGAACGGCTAAGGGAGCCGGGCATGTTTAGCCTGGAGAAGAGGAGGTTAAGGGGTGATATGATAGCCATGTTCAAATATATAAAAGGATGTCACATAGAGGAGGGAGAAAGGTTGTTTTCTGCTGCTCCAGAGAAGCGGACACGGAGCAATGGATCCAAACTACAAGAAAGAAGATTCCACCTAAACATTAGGAAGAACTTCCTGACAGTAAGAGCTGTTCGACAGTGGAATTTGCTGCCAAGGAGTGTGGTGGAGTCTCCTTCTTTAGAGGTCTTTAAGCAGAGGCTTGACAACCATATGTCAGGAGTGCTCTGATGGTGTTTCCTGCTTGGCAGGGGGTTGGACTCGATGTCCCTTGTGGTCTCTTCCAACTCTATGATTCTATGATTCTAAGTGTAACAAAAGAGATATTTACATTTCCCTGTTTCCCAGCCAAGTTAATCACACCCTTTTGTCTTCATCTGGGTTTGTTATTTCTGGAATGACTACCTGTCTGGCACTCGGGTATCAGGATGCCAGGGATTATCACTCAGGCAGAGGGGCTGCTGAGGAGTTGAGCTCACCTGTCTATATCAATTTCTGAAGTTTTCCCAGTGAGCCAGTACAGAGATACATCTATCAGTGAATTCTTACATTTGGTATTCTGCAGCAGAGGCCCTTTGAATAGATAGGAAGAAACTGTGATGAAGTGTTTTGTGGGGACAAGTCACAAAGGCGATTGTGCTGATTTTGGTAGTGGGCTGCATGTGCATGATATCTGCTGGAGGGGCAACCCCCCCCAACCTATACATAAATTCCTGCAACAGCAGCTATGGATCGGGAGACAATGGAGGGCTGCGCATTTAAGGATGAAGCACTGCGGTTGTCTGCAAGGGCTTCCCACGCGGCGGGGTGGATTCTGACAGCCTGCATGTCACTTTTGCAGGCAGTTTTCTCTGGGCGGGGCCTCGGACCCGGCAGCAGCAGCAGCAGCCTCTTGCCCTCCCCTACCTCGCAGGGTTGTTGTTGCGGGGAGCCAAACCCGGGCGGAGCGCCGGGCGCGCCGCCTGGCGCTCCTCTGCAGGGAAAGGCCGGCCAGCGACGCAACGGGGACGCAAAGCTGAAATCCCGACGGGCAAACCGAGCTGCGATCCCTCCCTCCCGCGATTGCAATTGCATTTCTTGCTCCTCCTCCTCCTCCTGGCGGGCAGGGTCAGAGTTGGGCCAAGATGGCGGCTCCCATGAGTGACACGTTCTCCTTTTGTATGGACCCCGCCGGCCAAGCCCGCCGCGCCCTGGAGGTGCGATTCATCAGCAACGTCAAGGTGAGCAAGAAGGAGCCGCTCCCTGATCCCCCCCCGCACCTCCTCCTGCTGCGGATCCAGTGGATCCTCCTCTGCTGCAGGGAAGGCGATCTCCTCCCTCCCTCTCCCCGCTGCCAGATCCTGCGGGGAAACGCAAGGCTGCAGCGACTGGCTGCTGTGCGCGCTTGCGAGGGACCAAACCATCGAATGCGCCCAGGGCGCAAAGCGGCCTCCATTGCGCGCGGATCGGGGGTGTCAGGATGCCGGCCTGCCCGGCGGCGGGGCCGGCTTGGGAGCAAAGATGTGCAGGGCGGGGTGGCTGCAGAGATGCGGGCTCCCGGGGCCGGATCCGGCCGGGTTTCCCCGCGCGCAACCACGCCCGGGCCGCTGCCACATCAGCTGAGATACTGCCATCCTGCAGTGGGGCGTTGGATCGCTTTCCGATCTGGCGATAGTGCCAGCTTGCCCAAAGGAGGGGAGGGAGCTTGCTCCCGAGTAAGCGCTGGCAAGCGGGGAGAGCTGGGTTCCTGCTTGTTGAGAACATCGTGGGCGCCTGGTTGGGGACAGGATGCTGGGTTGGGGCGGGAGGGGCTTTGGCAAGGCTTTTTCCTTGGGCAGGCTGTGGCTTTCGATTCGGACGGGGCAAATTGATCTTTGCTGGGCTCCTAGCCAGGATGGGGCCATGGGATCCTGGTTTCTGGAAGCCGCAGGAGGGCAGAGGGTTCTTGTGCCTGAATCCTGTTTGCTGGCTCTCTGCAATGGGCAACTGGTTGGCCACTGTGAGCTCAGGGTGCTGGCCTAGGTGGGCCCCTTGTGGCCGGATCAAGTTGCAGGACTCTGTTGCAGAGACCCCTCGTGGATTACCTCCTAATATGTTTTTGATTTTGCCAAACGGGGATTTTAATAAACCAATTTTATTGCATGAAACAAATCCACATTATTTTGATCCATTCCTGTAGGGCCCCTGGAAGGCATAGGGCCCATAGGCGGATATAACATATAACACTGGTCTCCCAGTACATTTCCGAGTACAATTCAGAGTGTTGGTGCTGATCTTGAAAGCCCTAAACGGCCTCCACCCAGGATACCTGAAGGAGTGTCTCCACCCCCATCATTCAGCCCAGACACTAAGGTCCAGCTCTGAGGGCCTTCTGGCGTTTCCCTCCCTGTGAGAAGCCAAGTTACAGGGAACCAGGAAGAGGGCCTTCTCGGTGGTGGCACCTGCCCTGTGGAACGCCCTCCCATCAGATGTCAAAGAGAAAATAACGACCAGACTTTTAGAAGACATCTGAAGGCAGCCCTGTTGAGGGAAGCTTTTAATGTTTAATAGGTTATTGTATTTTAATATTCTGTTGGAAGCCGCCCAGAGTGGCTGGAGAAACCCAGCCAGATGGGCGAGGTATAAATAATAAATTACCGTATTTTTTGCTCTATAAGACTCACTTTTTCCCTCCTAGAAAGTAAGGGGAAACGTGTGTTATGGAGCGAATGCAGGCTGCACAGCTATCACAGAAGCCAGAACAGCAAGAGGGATTGCTGCTTTCACTGCACAGCGATCCCTCTTGCTGTTCTGGCTTCTGAGATTCAGAATATTTTTTTTCTTGTTTTCCTCCTCCAAAAACTAGGTGCGTCTTGTGGTCTGGTGCGTCTTATAGAGCGAAAAATACGGTATATTATTATTATTATTATTATTATTATTATTATTATGCCTACTCTGCCAAGTTGCTGTGAGCAGGGAGAAGAGGCCTGCCTCCTTTATGGTAGCGACTAACCTGAATGTCTTTAAAAGAGGAATAGACCAAATCATGGAAGATAAGAGGCTAACTGTGGCCAGAATCGCCATGGCAATGTGGGGGCTGTGCACCTCTGAATGCTGTTTGCAAGGAATCACAAGTGGGCACACAGCCCATTAGAATAACTGAACCGTTGAGTTGGAAGGGATCCCGAGGGTCATCTAGTCCAACCCCCTCTAATGCAGGAATCTTTGCTCAACGTGGGATTCGAATCCATGTCCCTGAGATTAAGAGTCTCATGCTCTACAGACTGAGCTATCCCAGAGGGGGAAATGTGTATTGTGTTTACCACGATTATCATCTGCTGTTGGGGCACAACTGGCGTTCACTGGGTGAAGACCGCTAATAGCAAGCCCAGATAATCTGGATCAGACCAAATTGGGGCAGGTGCCCATTTACCCTGGTGTGCCCTTTTGCCCCCAGTGCTCTCATCCTTGGGCTGCCAGTGTGTTACAGATTATTTTCACGACTCGTCGGGGTACGGTAGGGCGGCCATTCGTCTCCATCCAGATGATGTCGTAACTGAGTATGTGCTTGAACCTCCTTGAAGAGGAGCTGGCCTCAGCAAGGAATCCAAGCTCCTTGTCTGTACCTGGTCGCCTGGAGCTGTTTCTTAGCTCGCCCCAGCCGACCAGGCAACCGTTGGTTCCATGTGGTGCTTCTCTTCTTCCTTCCTGCTGCCCTCCTGTTTCCAATCCAAGCTTATTAATTATTATTATTATTACTATTATTATTATTATTACAGTGGACGCTTCTGAGCATGCACACTTCAGCACTTCTGAGCATGCGCAAAGCACAATTTAGCACTTCTGCGCATGCGCAAGCGGTCAAACCCGGAAGTAACGGTTCTGGTATTTCCGGGCTCAGCGCGGTGCACAACCCGAAATCGCGCAACCCAAAGCGTCTGTAACCCGAGGTATGACTGTATTATCTTTTGTTATGTCGATGTTAAAAGGGCAAAGGACTCTTCGCCACCAGAAACATCAAGAAGGGGGAAACAATTTTCGTCGAGAAGCCGGTGGTGTCTGCCCAGTTCCTCTGGAATGCCCTGTATAAATATAGAGGTGAGCAAACTGGCACTCTAGTCCATTTGGGGAGAAGACATTGCATTGTTGAATACAAGTGTGCATTGGGGTGTGTGCATATATCTCTGTGTGTTATCTAGAAATTGGACTACAGTGGTACCTCGGGTTAAGTACTTAATTTGTTCCGGCGGTCCGTTCTTAACCTGAAACTGTTCTTAACCTGAAGCACCACTTTAGCAAATGGGGCCTCCTGCTTCTGCTGTGCCGCCGGAGCATGATTTCTGTTCTCATCCTGAAGCAAAGTTCTTAACCCGAGGTACTATTTCCGGGTTAGCGGAGTCTGTAACCTGAAGCGTCTGTCACCCGAGGTACCACTGTATATCCCACGCTGTTCCAGAAGGGGGTTCCACGGGATTTGCATTTTATCTCCTCCCGCTGTGTACCCCCAAAATCTGCCCCAGAGGATCCACCGGTCCCTACGCTGCAGATTCTGAGGGTGTGCAGCTGAGGGGCTGAAGAGGGCAGGGGACAAAGAGGAAATTCCCGTGTGCGCAGAGAAGTCCTTTGGAGCTGCAGCTTGGATACTCACCTAGTCCAGGCTCTGCAATGCAGGGGTAATTTAGGATAACCTAAGATACTGTAAGGACTTCGGTATCCTGTGTTGTATACCTTGCATACCTTTGGTTATCTGGTGCCCTGAGCAAGGACAAAATTTGGCCCACACAAACCCCCCCCACACACAATTTTTTTCTTCTTCTTTTCGACATAATTCCTTTTGGTACACTTGCTTTTTTTAATGGATCGCCTCAGTACATACCTGTATAAATATAGGTATTACCGTATTGGCCTGAATATAAGCCGCAGCTGCCAATAAGCCGCACCTTTAAAATTCAAGACAAAAAAGACAATCCCCGAATATAAGCCGCTCCCTTAAAATTGGGTTACAGGCTGAAAATTGCTGCGGTTGGTAGAATTGTAACTCTGCGCCAATTTAAGCCTTTTGTCTTGCAAGCCCACAAAAGTTACCATATACAGTGGTACCTCAGGTTAAGTACTTAATTTGTTCCGGAGGTCCATTCTTAACCTGAAACTGTTCTTAACCTGAAGCACCACTTTAGTTAATAGGGCCTCCTGCTGCTGCCGTGCCGGCGGAGCACGATTTCTGCTCTCATCCTGAAGCAAAGTTCTTAACCTGAAGCACTATTTCTGGGTTAGCGGAGTCTGTAACCTGAAGCGTATGCAACCTGAGGTACCACTGTAGTTGCTAAAGTCGCAAATCACTATTCAGTTGCTACAATTCCACAGGTGCTCACACCCGCAAATGGCAAATGAGCAGTCTCAAGCTCGCAAATCGGCAATAAAACTTTTTTTGCTCCGTTTTACTATGTGTTTCAGCAGCGATATCGTAAAAGCCGATTTTTGTAAGGTCGCGAATTTAAGCTGTGCGGGATCCATTCCAATCCTGCTTCCGCTCCGGTCATGGGACTGAGACGGCTCTGCTCGCCCTAACAGATGATCTCCGCAGGCAGCTGGATCGAGGCGGGTCAGGGCTGCTGATTTGCAACCCGAGCATCCACCTTATTTACTGTATTTTTTGCTCTATAAGACTCACTTTTCCCCTCCTAAAAAGTAAGGGGAAATGTGTGTGCGTCTTATGGAGCGAATGCAGGCTGCGCAGCTATCCCAGAAGCCAGAACAGCAAGAGGGATCGCTGCTTTCACTGAATATTTTTTTTCTTGTTTTCCTCCTCCAAAAACCAGGTGCGTCTTGTGGTCTGGTGCGTCTTATAGAGCAAAAAATACGGTACTTTGCAATAAAAATTCTTTAAATAAAAAAAAGGAAAGGAAAGGAAAAAATGCCCCTTCTGTTGTTTTACATTCCCAGCACTTACTTTCCTTCATGGCTCTTTTCTTACCCCCATCTCCCCTCCAGCCTGCGACCATTGCTTGCGAGCGCTGGAGACGGCGGAAGAAAATGCGCAGAGGCTGCTGGGGAAACCCCAAGCCCTTCCTCACCCGGAGCAGTGCAGCATTCGGAAGGAGCTCCACCAACACTGCCCCGCTTGCCAAGTAAGTAGGAGGCAGGCGGATCGCGTCCCCTCGCATGGCCTGGGAATCTCGGTCGCCTTTCCCCGCCTGCCGAAGGGCTGTGCCAAAGGGGCGGGGGGGAGTCCCCTTCGATGACAGCTGTGCTTCGCTTCCTATACGATACGATACAATAATCTTTATTGTCATTGTCCCATACAGAACAACGAAATTGAAAAATCTACATCAGACATTCAGAAACCCACAAGCCTGCTATCCCAGCCTGGTTAGCCCCCTAAAAACTCTGATACCCCATAATTGAATACAATATACTCCCATAGAGACTACCTTACACTGCGTTTAAAACCAAAATCGCATTTGGCTAGAAACTGTTTCTCAGGCGGCTAGTCCTAGTCTTTATAACCCTGTACCTTCTTCCAGAAGGCAGAAGCTGAAAGATAATTTCCGGGCTGCGCACTATCCTGCGCTATCTCTGTAGCTTTCTTATGGCACCTGGAAGCATAGATTTGATCCAAGGTGGGAAAAGTGCACCCAATTATTCTCTTCGCAGTCCTTACAACCCTGGACAGCATTGTTTTCCCCCTGACCGTGCAGCTCCCAAACCACACACAGAGACCCTAAGTGAATACACTCTCAACATTACAATGGTAAAATGCCATCAAAATGCCATTGAGAGATTGTTTTTCTGGAGGATTCTCACAAAATATAACCTATTGTTCCTTAGGTGGCTTATTGCAGCGCAGAGTGCCGCCAGCTTGCCTGGGAACAGTATCACCAGGTTTTGTGCCTGGGGCCGTCCAGGCAGGACCCCAACCACCCGCTCAGCAAACTGCAGGAGGCCTGGAGGTATTTATTTCTCATTTTTTTCAGTTTTTGAGTTTAAAGCCCTAAATGGCCTCCATCCAGTATACCTGAAGGAGGTATTGTTCTGCCCAGACACCGAGGTCCAGCTCCGAGGGCCTTCTGATGGTTCCCTCACTGCGAGAAGCAAAGCTACAGGGAACCAGGCAGAGGGCCTTCTTGATGGTGGCGCCCTCCTGTCAGATGTCAAGGAAATAAACAACTATCTGACTTTTAGAAGACATCTGAAGGCAGCCCTGTACAGGGAAGCTTTTAATGTTTAATAGACCATTGTATTTTAATATTTTGTTGGAAGCCGCCCAGAGTGGCTGGGGAAACCCAGCCAGATGGGCAGGGTGTAAATAATACATTATTATTATTATTATTATTATTATTATTATTATTATTTCTTGTGTTTTGATGTTGTGAACTGCCCTGAGACGTATGGATGAAGGGCGGCTATGCAGATTTAATAAATAATAATAAAGAGACTTTCTGTCCGCAGCAGGGAGGGCTTGGGGCTATATAAGAGGGTGTTTTGTTTTGTTTTTGTTTTTTGAAATCAGGCTGCAGGGCTTAGTTGCTTAGATCAGTTCAGAAGCCTTCTGGTTGACTGGAAAGTTGTGCCTGGGTGAATGGGGCACCAGGGTTTTAAAGAACAATTATTATTCCTGAAAAACCCACAACTATACATGCAGCATCTGAAAACAAAATATAGTCATCTGCTCTAACCTCCTCTGCTGAGGCAGTGAATCAGCAGCTACAACACCCCTGAAAGGTGGGCCAGGCAGCTTAAATAACTGTTGTTGTTGTTGTTATTATTATTATTATTAAACCCTATTGTTTGTTTGTTCGGTTGCTTTTTGCCATTGCAACTGAAAGCTGCTTTGGGATGGGGAAGAGAGGGGTTTATTGGTTTGTGCTGTCTTTATTATGGATTTTGCATTCTTATCTTGTATTTTTACGGCGTGAACCGCCCTGAAATCTACAGATGAAGTATGCAATTATCTTTTTTTTAAAAAAAAGAAAAAAAATCTTACAAAAGAAAATACACAGAATAAAAACAGAGAGGAGGAAATTCTAAGGTCAGGGACTTCCTTTGCAGATATTTGCAAGATGCTGTGGGAGCCAGTTTTGGCTGAATAGCGGGAGTGAAAAAAAGCTAATAATAATAATGATAATAATACTACTTAATTAATATTTGAGGAAGATTCTGCTAGGGCTAGAGCACTCTGCTTCACCCCTCTGTTTCGTCTGTGATTATGTGAATAAGAAATCCCTTTCCTTCTATTCCAGGAACATCCATTACCCGCCTGAGACTTCGAGCATCATGCTCATGGCCAGAATGGTTGCAACTGTCAAGCAGGTTTGTGGTACCCCAAGATCTGTGGCCTTGTGTGAGTGTCTGGAGGAGGGATGGCGGCTATCAGATTGAGGTTGAATCCTGACAAGACAGAAGGACTGTTTTTGGGGGACAGTGGGCGGGCGGGTGTGGATGACTCCCTGGTCCTGAATGGGGTAACTGTGCCCCTGAAGGACCAGGTGCGCAGCCTGGGAATCATTTTGGACTCACAGCTGTCCATGGAGGCACAGGTCAATTCTGTGTCCAGGGCAGCTGTCTCCCAGCTCCATCTGGTACACAGGATGAGACCCTCCCTGCCCGCGGACCATCTCGCCAGAGTGGTGCATGCTCTGGTTATCTCTTGCTTGGACTACTGCCATGTGCTCTATGCGGGGCTATCTTCAAAAGTGACCCAGAAACTACAACTAATCCAGAATGCGGCAGCCAGACTGGTGACTGGGAGTGGCCGCCATGACCCCATAACACCGGTCTTGAAAGACCGACATTGGCTCCCAGTACGTTTCTGAGCACAATTCAAAGTGTTGGTGCTGACCATGAAAGCCCTAAACGGCCTCAGCCCAGTATACCTGAAGGAGCATCTCCACCCCCATCATTCAGCCCGGACACTGAGGTCCAGCTCCGAGGGCCTTCTGGTGGTTCCCTCATTGCGAGAAGTGAGGTTACAGGGAACCAGGCAGAGGGCCTTCTCAGTGGTGGCGCCCACCTTGTGGAGCACCCTCTCACTAGATGTCAAAGAAAAAAACAACTACCTGACTTTTAGAAGACATCTGAAGGCAGCCCTGTGCCAGGAAATTTTTAAGGTCTGATGTTCTATTGTGTTTTTAAATAATCAATCAATATTACGGTCCAGAGACCCAAAGCAATGCACAATTCAGACCGCCTACCACCAGGTCAAACAAGCATTTTGTTCAGACTTAAAGATAGGGATCATTGGTTCTTGCAACCACCGATAAAAACTTTGCCACTGCTAATGTTCTAGCGTTTGACCGGTCTTCCAATAGGAACCCGACATAGTGAGCCTCTGAATTTCCCGGGAAAGGTACCAGCAAGGGTAATAGCAGTTTAGCCCTGGCTTGCTCGTATTTCGCACAGTGCAGCAAAATATGTTTTATGGAATCGGTGTCTTGGGCACACCAGCAAAGTCTGTCCTTGTAGGGAACTCCTCTCAACCTGCCATCCAACACAAATTTTAAAATATTTTGTTGGAAGCTGCCCGGCGTGGCAGCTTCCAACACAGTCATCTGGGCGGCATATAAACAAGAAAATTATTTGGCTTTAAAGAAAGGCTAGGTCTGGGCTGGGGGAGCTTTTTTGGCTCCCAAGGGCCACATTGGGTGAGCTTCCGAGGGCTGCATGACAATAGTGGGCAGAGCAGGAGTTGTGACTTCCGCCTTAGTACGGCCGGCCGCATTCCAGCAAACACCAGAGAGATGCGCACACACATTGACCCTCACTCTTCCGCCCAGGCAAGCAGGAGACAACGAGCCGTCATTCCTGCGTTTCAGGGGGTTGGAATAAAAGACCACTGGGGGTCTCTTCCAAGTCTACAGTGCTGAGATTCTGCGATTCTTGCAGTTCAGGGATGCATCCACCCACGGAGGACCTTACGGGCTTCAAACAAAAACATCTTGGAGGTCCCGGGCCACAGGGAGGTTAGGCTGGCCTCAACCAGAGCCAGGGCCTTTTCAGTACTGGCCCCGATCTGGTGGAATGCTCTGTCACAAGAGACTAGGGCCCTGCGGGACTTGACATCTTTCCGCAGGGCTTGCAAGACAGAGCCATTCCACCAGGCCTTTGGCCAAGACACAGTCTGACCCCTTCCTTCGGTAATCCTCACAGAACTCCAGCCCAATGGTTGCCATTAAATTCTGAATTGATTTTAGAATGAATTGATTTTGGAATGTATTTCAATTAATTGATTGTGATTTTATGTAAACTGTGTTACTTTTATTGTTGTTAGCCGCTCTGACCCCGGCTTCGGCGGGGGAGGGCGGGATATAAATAATCTTTATTATTATTATTATTATTATTATTTATCCCAACCTGGCCAAAGCATGCAAGGAGAGCAGCGGGGGAGCGTGCCGGGGGGGGCAGGTGAAGATCCCTGAAGGACGGTGGTTCCCCACTCCTTGTCTAGACAAAGGGGGAGGGGTCTTTCAATCTTCTTGCCTCGGTTGTTCCCCAGAAGCTCGCCGCATCGAGAGAAGTGGAAGCCGATATATATTATATTTTGTTTCCTTGCAGGCAAAGGACAAAGACTGGTGGATCAAACTCTTCGCTCAGTTCTGCAGCAAAACAGCCAACGAGGAAGAGGAGATCGTCCACAAACTCCTGGGGGATAAATTTAAGGTTGGGAACCCTGTGATAACGGAAGGGATGGTCTTCTGCGGGCTGGTGAGCCGTTCATTTGTGGCGGGGCTGGACTAGATGACCCTTGGGAGTCCCAGCTCTTCGGTTCTGTGACCCTGGGGTTCTTTCTTTCTGCCCAGTCTCCTTTGACCCAAAGGAAGCATCGTAATCTTAATCCTGCGCCTACCTCCCCTGTGCATGTGCAGTGGTCGGTAGAAACCAACCTGTGGTTTCCATTATCTTGATAATGTGATTAGCCTACGGAACTCCCTGCCACCAGAGGCAAGGCTGCCCACCAAACCTGGATGGCTTTGAAAGAGGATTGGACAAATCCATGGAGGAACAGAGGGCTATTCATGGCCACTAGCCACAATGACTATATGCCCCGGCCGTCGGAGGCACCGATGCTTCTGAATATCAGTTGCTGGAAACCACAGGAAGGGGAGAGGGCTCTTGTGTTCGAATCCCCCTTGCGGGTTTCCTGCAGGCATTGAACTGATTTTATAATGAATTGATTTTAGAATACTGTATTATTTTACTGTTGTTAGCCGCTCTGAGCCCAGCATCGGCTGGGGAGGGCGGGATATAAATAAAGTTTTATTTTTATTTTATTATTATTATCTGGTTGGTCCCAGGATGCAGAGCTCCTGGCCTGATCCTGTTCTTATCTCAAATTTCAGTAAAAGCACATTTCTGTTAGGACTCCAGAGAGAAGTATGGGCAGGATTTCATGGGCTGGCAGTTGATGGGAGTTCAAAACAGCCAGAAGGTTCAAGAAGGTTGCAGGGACAGAATCAAGCATGGACTTGTTTCCATTATTCCTAGCGTTGAATGATTTGTGATCTTCTCCATCTCTCCAGGGCCAGCTGGAAGTCCTGCGTGTCCTTTTCACCGAAGCCCTTTACGATGACCATCTCAGCAGGGTAAAGCCAGAATTTTTGTAGCTGGGAGCAGTTCCAGGCTCCAGGTTTCTCCTTTAGCGGGGGCTGAAATAGATGCCCTTTGGGAAGGTTTCTGGATCTGTCTGAGTTTCTCCAGCCACTCTGGGCGGCTCCCAATTGAGTGTTAAAAGCATCAAACATTAAAAACTTCCCAGTACAGGGCTGTCTTCAGGTGTCTTTTAAAGATAAGATAGCTGCTTATTTCCTTCACAACTGAAGGGAGGGCGTTCCACAGGGCGGGCGCCACCACCGAGAAGGCCCTCTGCCTGGTTCCCTGTAACTTGGCTTCGCACAGTGAGGGAACTGCCAGAAGGCCCTCAGCGCTGGACCTCAGTGTCCGGGCTGAACTATGGAGTGGAGACGCTCCTTCGGGTATACTGGACCAAGGCCATTTAGGGCTTTAAAGGTCAGCACCAACACTTTGAATTGTGCTCAGAAACGTACTGGGAGCCAATGCAGATCTCTCAGGACCGGTGTTATGTGGTCCCAGCGGCCAGTCCCAGTCACCAGTCTAGCTGCCGCATTCTGGATTAGTTGTAGTTTCCGGGTCACCTTCAAAGGTAGCCCCACACAGAGCGCATTGCAGTAGTCCAAGCGGGAGATAACTAGAGCATGCACCACTCTGTTGAGACACTCTGCGGGCAGGTAGGGTCTCAGCCTGCATACCAGATGGAGCTGGTAGACAGCTGCCCTGGGCACAGAATTGACATGTGCCTCCATGGACAGCTGTGAGTCCAAAATGACTCCCAGGCTGTGCGCCTGGTCCTTCAGGGGCACAGTTACCCCATTCAGGACCAGGCAGTCCCCACACCTATCTGCCCCCTGTCCCCCAAAAACAGTACTTCTGTCTTGTCAGGATTCAACCCCAATAGGCAGGGAGTTCCAAAGTTGTCTGAGGGCAGCCACTGAGAAGGCCCTGTCCTGCGTCCCCACCAAGTGTCCCTGTGAGGGTGACGGGACCGAGAGAAGGTGGGCCCCGCTATCCCACTCCTCTAGTCCCAGGAGGGACTCAGCATCTGTGGCAGGGATGCTGTTTACCACCACTATTTATCTCTCTCTCTCTTTGCTATCTCCTCCTGGCAGTGGTTCTCCCCGGAAGGTTTCCGGTCGCTGTTTGCCCTCGTCGGCACCAACGGACAGGGGATAGGAACCAGGTAAGTTCAGGTGGATTTTAGCCTCTCCCGGGAACTCCCCTGGGGGCTCTGGCGGTTAATTAGGACTTAGCAGAATACATCTACTTCATAGACACCGAGAGACAACAGGACTGCTCAAGGTGTCCCGACTATAAAATTGGAGAAATCGGGAGATATATAGCCTCACCAGCAGCATATCTCTTCTTTCTCGTATCCAGAAATGCAAGAAGGGCCTTTACACTCGCCAGAAGCTTGGCTCTGCCCTCGCCGGTCCTGGAAGGAGCCTTTTAAAAAGTCCCATATGCTCAGAGACTTTGCGCCTGTTCATTGGGGGAGATAGGAAGCCCAGAGCACTTGTTCTTTAGATGTCCCTTTTAGGAAGAGGCACATAGTAACACCATTGATCCCCTGCTGGTGAGGCTCGCTGGCCTCCCAGAAAAGCAAAAATTCGACCTTCTGTTAGGCAAAGATCATAAGACGACTTGGATGGTCGCCAGATTCTGTGTACAGATCTGTAGGCGCAGACCGTCCCCCGACTCAAACTAGTTTGTGAAGAAAATCCCCAAACTCAGTTTCATGGGTGACTCTGGGTCATGTCTATGTGGTAGCCTATCTTAAAGTTTTAAGTGTCTATATGTTTATCGCAGGACGTGGGTGGCGCTGTGGGTTAAACCACAGAGCCTAGGACTTGCCGATCAGAAGGTCGGCGGTTCAAATCCCCGCGACGGGGTGAGCTCCCATCGCTCTGTCCCTGCTCCTGCCAACCTAGCAGTTTGAAAGCATGTCAAAGTGCAAGTGGATAAATAGGTATCGCTCCGGTGGGAAGGTAAACGGCGTTTTCGTGCGCTGCTCTAGTTCACCAGAAGCGGCTTAGTCATGCTGGTCACATGACATGGATGCTGTACGCCGGCTCCCTCGGCCAATAAAGCGAGATGAGCGCAGCAACCCCAGAGTCGGCCACAACTGGATCTAATGGTCAGGGTCCCTTTACCTATGCTTATCGCATTTATAAATTTTAAATTTATTGTTATACATTGTTTTAACTGTTTGTTTTCTTTCTGGGAACGTACCCCAAGTCTGTTTTATAAGCTGGTCTCCAACTGTAATAAATTATCTAAAAGCCAGACCTAACTTGCGGTCTGAGGAACTAGTCAGAAGGGCTGTAGATCAAGGACAGATCACCTGCTTTTCATTGAGAAAGTCCCCGGTTTCTTCCTCTTGCCTGAACCCTGGAGAGTCCCTGCCAGTCCTGGTAGACAGTACTGAGGTAGTAATGAGAATCTCAGGTGAGATCCTTGTACAGCGGAAGTTGCTCTCAGTACCAGTCGCCACCTGGAAGCAGAGAAAGGTTCAGATAGCTTGCTGCTGCAGAAGATAAGGCTCAGCAAAACAGTTCTGGACATAGATAGATACAGCTTGTAGGCTTCTCCAGATACAGATACATACAAAATGTCTCTGTTGCTCTAAATAAGTTCAGCCATTCGAGACGTAACGTTGAACAAGTAACACCGACTGGCTAACAGACTGACTCACAGGCTGAGCTGGGGCAGCCCAGTCAGCTGGGTGGCATATATATGAAAAATACCAGTTGACACTACAGTCCTTGCTTGGGGTGAGTGGAACTCAGTGGCTCGGATATTCCCCTGTTGAAATCACGTTTTAGCCGCTGTGAAGTCACCATGAAGACACCATTGGCCCTCTACCTCAGTCGCTCTTCGCTGCCCCCTGCAAAATGGGTATAACGGTGTTGGCCTACCTTTTAAGGCACTGCCAATGTGGTGCCCTCTTAGGACCACAACTCCCACAATCCCTGGTCGTTGCCCACGCTGACCGGACCAATGGGAGTTGTAGAGCGTCTGGATAGGGGCGCCGTGTTGGCTACCCCCGTTTTCAGTGGAGGCGTCCTATGGATTGCCGCAAATCCTTTAGACGTCCCAGAGCTGGGGGTGTGATTTGTGGCGTGCCCCGGCCCAGCGAAATGAGGGCGCTTTTGGTGGTGGCACCCCGAAGACAATTCCTTGCCAGCCCCCGCAGAGAGGAAGACTCTATAAATGGAAGGAATTGATGCCATCTGTCTGTCTCTCTGGCACCACCCAGCTCCTTGAGCCAGTGGGTCCACGCCTGCGACGCCTTGGAGTTACCCCCCCAGGAGCGAGAGCAGTTGGACGCCTTCATAAACCAGCTGTACAAGGACATAGAGAGAGGTCAGTGAACGGGAAATTGGGGGCCTTGGAACGACCGGGGGGCCGTGCCTTCATGGGTGGGAGGTGCCCAACGCCCTTGGTTGTGGCGGTGTCATCATGTGCCTGGCATCAGTGGCATAGTATGAGGGGAGCCAGAGGGACTGTTGTCCCGGGTGCAAAATTTGGGAAGCATGTGCAAAATTTCAAAAGAAAAACAAACAAACAAGCAGTGTAAAAATTTCACAAAATAAATAAAAATAATAAAATAAACTCCCTCCACCATCGCTGCTGCTTCCTGGATCTGATAGTGGTCTTGCCCCGGGCACTGGCATCCCATGCTATGCCACTGCCTGGCATCACCGAGGAACTGGTAAGGATGCTGAACTGTGTTGAGTCCATGCATGGCCCTTTCTGCTTTGGAGAGCAGAAGAGCAGGCATTGCAGGATCAGGCCAAAGATCCATTTGTTGTTTTGCCTGATGGGCTGGGTGCTTGATCTTCTTCAACACTCTGGTGAAGCAGGATCGAACCTTGACGTCGTCCAGGGACGGGTGGGAGGAAGAAAACCACCTTGAGCCCCTGGGAGGAAAGTCAGGGTATAAATGTGATGATGATAATTTATTATTTATACCCCACCCATCTGGATGGGTTTCCCCAGCCACTCTGGGCAGCTTCCAGCAGAATATTAAAATACAATGATTCTTCAAATGTTAAAAGCTTCCCTAAACAGGGCTGCCTTCAGATGTCTTCTAAAAGTCGGATAGTTGTTAATTTCTTTGACATCTGATGGGAGGGCGTTCCACAGGAAGGGCGCCACCACCGAGAAGGCCCTCTGCCTGGTTCTCTGCAACTTCGCTTTTTGCAGCGAGGGAACCGTCCGGGCAGAACGATGGGGGTGGAGATGCTCCTTCAGGTATACTGATAGAATCCTAGAGTTGGAAGGGGCACCCGGGGTTATCTAGTCCAACCCCCTTCAGTGCAGGAATCGCAACTCAAGCCTCCCTGACAGACGGCCATCCAACCTCTGCTTAAAAACCTCCAAGGATGGAGAGTCTATACCACAGCTCATGTGAGGGTCATACTGTGCCTGGTTCCTGCATTTAGGGTTCTCTTTGGGAAAGGGGGATTATTAAGAGACGGAAATTGCCTCTCATATCTTCTTTCCTCCCTCTTTGATTTAGAGACAGGGGAGTTTCTGAATTGCGAAGGGTCTGGCCTCTACATGCTGCAGAGTTGCTGTAAGTATCAGGGGAGGAATAATCTGCCCAAACACTTTTTATAGGAATCGTCAAGTGGGAAGGGAACACGAGGGTCATCTAGTCCAACCCCCTGCAATGCAGAAATCTCAACTAAAGTATCCCTGGCAGATGGCCATCCAACCTCTGCTTAAAAACCTCCAAGGAAGGAGAGCCCACCATCTTCTGAGGGTGTACATTCCCTTGTTGAACAGCAGAAAGTTCATCCTGATGTTGAGTTGGACTCTCCTTTCTTGTAACATGAAGCCACGGGTTCAAGTCCTACCCTCCAGAGCCGGAGAAAAGTAGCTTGCTCCATTCTCCACGATGCAGCCCTTGAGATATTTGAAGGTGACTCTCATATTTCAAAAAATATATATATCACACAGGAAATTGTTCCTTGAAGCTCATGGCTGCTCTGCTTGCTTCCTTCCTCAGGTAACCACAGCTGCATTCCCAATGCCGAAACCTCGTTCCCGGATAACAATTTCCTCCTGCACCTGACGGCCTTGGAGGATATTGGGCCGGGAGAGGTGAGAGCCCTGGAGGCTGTGGGGTGGCCCTTTGGAAACCGGTAGGGCAGGGGTCCAGGAGACCAACACTAGGTGGCGCTAGAGGACATGCAGCCTCCTCTTCTTCCCGGATGAGTTCTGCAACGGCAAGCTGAAACTTAAGGAGGAGGAGTGTCACAGTCCGGTCTACGGGCAATCAAAGTCCTGGCGGAGGATGTCAGGACCGGGGGCAAGATGGCAGGGTGGGAGCAGGAACGAGAGGCCAGAGGCCAGGGGTCCGAGGGTCAGGAAGCAAGGAGTCACGAAGTCAGGGGTCCGAGGATCAGGAAGCAAGGAGTCACGAAGTCGGGTCCGAGGGTCAAGAAGCAAGGAGTCACAAAGTCAGGGGTCCGAGGGTCAGGAAGCAAGGAGTCACGAAGTCGGGTCCAAGGGTCAAGAAGCAAGGAGTCCCAAAGTCAGGGGTCCGAGGGTCAAGAAGCGAGGAGTCCCAAAGTCAAGGGTCTGAGGATCAGGAAGTAAGAAGCCAAACGCAGCAAGGCAGGAAACGTGTTGCTGTGGCAAAGAGCCGAAGGGAAATGCTGACCTTATATCCCTTCCCAGCTCTTGCCACCAGGTGCAGTGAGTTACCAATCGGCCTCACCTGTGTGGCCGCGGCTTGCCTCTTCAGAACAAACTTAGGAAGGCCCCAGTCCTGCGAAGGCCTACTGGTCACAGGGCCTGGCTCCTATACGGACACCAGACAAGGAGGAAGCTGATGGGCCTTGGGCTGGTGGTTAAGTAAGAGCGAGAGAAAGAGAGAATGAGTTCCATAAGGGACCCCAAGGGTCATCTAGTCCAACCCACTGCAATCAGCCATGGGTTCAAGGCCCGTGATGGCCAAAAGATTCCTGCGGGGCAGAGGGTTGGACTGGATGATCCTGGGGGGGGGTCCCTTCCAACTCTATAATTCTGTGATTCTAAGCTAGAATGAGGTGGGCGGGCTGGTGTCTCAGTCTCCTAAATGGACCAGTCTCCAGGAGGTGAGAGGGGCCTGAGTTTTTGAGCCCTGTTGCAAAAAATTGGGCATCTCCTGAGCTGGGACGTGTCCCAAAGTTAGGATTGGTTAACGAAAATCTGGGACACAGTATGCTTGCTGAAGCTTATGGTTAAGTATGTTGAGAATCAGAGAGCAAGAGAATGCCTTTATCGGTTTTTTAATTTTATTTTTTTTAACATCTTCATTGAAAATTCAAACGTACATAATTATATGTGCACTAAACATGGTGAGACGTAAAGGAAAGAGAGAAAAAGAAAGAGAGAAACAGAACCCATGTAGAAGGGAAAATAAAGGGGAGAGGAATAAACAAACTATAAATTTTACAAAGTTGTTATTGTACTTCACCAGATCTTAACCTATTACAGTATTTGTAAGAATCGAATCCAAAAGAATACCTTTATTGTGTTTATTATTATTATTATTATTATTATTATTATTATTATTATTATTATTATTATTATTTACTAGATTTACATACTGCTCTTCATCAAAAGACCTCAGGACGGTTCACAAGATAAAAACACAAATAAAAAGAGAAACCACCAAACAATAACAAAACAGAATATTATTATTTTTATAATGCACTTTTTATTATGTACAGGAGCAATAAGGCACAGCATAACGCAAATCTGTTTGTGCTACTTGGAAACGTGTGATATTAAATTATCTTGGTATGGGAATTTGTTCCTATGCGCTCAGTTCTAGATATTCCCTTCTGCTTTTATTTAATCTAGTATCTGTGACTATGTTTCATTATGTTTTATTATAAATAAACACCGTATTTTTCAGTGTATAAAACGACCCCTATTTTTTGAACCCAAAATCGAGAAATAAATAATTGCATCATTCCGTGTATAAGATGACCACCAATTTTAAACTATGGGGAAAATATAGTCTTATACACGGAAAAACACAGTATATGTTTGTTTGTTTTTAATTTAAAGCTGGATAGAAAAAAGATGAAATAACCTACAAAAATAAACATCAAGCAGCAAGTTCTTTTTTAAAGATAGAAATTGAAAAGGAAATAGGTAGAGGAGTATACACAGAGGTTTAAAAAGAAATGTTGGGCATGCCACTCTGTTTGAGTCAACGTTTGCCTTCAATGTGTGCCATTCCTTATTCCCGAACAGGAGATCTGCATCAGCTACTTAGACTGTTGCCAAAGGGAGCGAAGCCGCCACAGCCGCAACAAGACCCTCCGGTAAGCCTGGGCATCAAAATTTGATGCCAACGGATGCCAGCATAATATTGGGAGAGGCCCTGGGCAGGAGGAGCAAGAGGCCCAAACAGGACTAATTTAGCCAGCTAGCCCTGGTGATCATCTAATGTTTATTGGATGGATTTCCCCCCTAAATTGATTTTGAATTCTGAATTTACAGTGGTACCTCTGGTTATGTACTTAATTTGTTCTGGAGGTCCGTTCTTAACCTGAAACTGTTCTTAACCTGAAGCACCACTTTAGCTAATGGGGCCTCCTGCTGCCGCCACGCCGCCGGAGCATGATTTCTGTTCTCATCCTGGAGCAAAGTTCTTAACCCGAGGTACTATTTCTGGGTTAGCGGAGTCTGTTACCTGAAGCATATGTAAACCGAGGTACCACTGTATTGTTATTCAGGTTTTATACTGTATTTTATGCTGGGTTTTTTGCATCAATTAAGTGTTTTAAATTTGTTGTTAGCTGCCCTGAGCCCGGTTTTCTGAACCGGGAAGGGCGGGGTATAAATAAAAAATTATTGTTATTATTATTACGTGTCGGGAGGATAACAAACTGAAATCACCGCCATCGTAACCGCCACGCACCCATTTCTCCCCCTCCTCTGCCCCCTTCCAGGGAAAACTACCTGTTCGTTTGCTCCTGCCCCAAGTGCCTGGCACAAGCCAACGACCCGGACGTGACGTCGGAAGAGGAGGATGAGGAGGAGGAAGAAGTCGAAGGGGAGCCGGACGACGCAGAACTGGAGGACGAGATGACGGACGTTTGACCCTGGGGGCTGGGCTGGGGGTTTCTCTCTGGAGACGGCGGCAGCGGCTGGGGAAGCAGGTTCCTGGACTCGTGAGCGGCCAGTGCCGGCAGCCGAGCGAAGGGCAGAGATTTCGCCATGATGCGATGCAAAGAGTCTGTCCCTTTGGGAAAAGTGTGCCCCATTTACTGACACCTCCCCTCTCTGCATTGTATCAGAGCTGTTAACCCACCCCCAAAGAGGGCCGGATCTTCTCCGCCAATTGCCATGGGGCAGTTCTCCTGTGGGGCAGAGGGGCACAGGCTGAAGGAACCCCTTGATCACCATTTTGCCACTTGCCTGGGTACAGTAAAACGATTTACAACGCAAAGAGCGGCTTTTGTGTTTAAGCAGTGGAGTTGTGTGGAGGTTTTTTGTTTTTACTTTAACAGTCATCACTAGTTTCCTCCTAAGCTGGTTCTTAGCAGTTGCAGTTTGGGGGCCTGGCTGCATTCTTACATACAGTGGTACCTCGGGTTAAGTACTTAATTCGTTCCGGAGGTCCGTTCTTAACCTGAAGCTGTTCTTAACCTGAAGCACCACTTTAGATAATGGGGCCTCCTGCTGCCACCGCACCGTCGGAGCACGATTTCTGTTCTCATCCTGAAGCAAAGTTCTTAACCCGAGGTAATATTTCTGGGTTAGCAGAGTCTGTAACCTGAAGCGTATGTAACCCGAGGTACCACTGTATTTTGAAAAGAAAAATAATGAACGAATTCCTATGCCCCACAAATAACCCAGAGATGCATTTTAAATAAAAGCACACATTCTACTCATGTGAAAACACGCTGATTCCCGGACCGTCCGTGGGCCGGATTGAGAAGGCGATTGGGCCGCATCCGGCCCCCGGGCCTTAGCTTGCTTACCAACGCTCTTGCCTTTTGTTCTGGGTTAAAACTAAGGAAATGTGTTTCCACAGGGGCAAATGTCAAGTTCTGCACTTAGCTGGGAAGAACCAGTTGCGCAATTATAAGATGGGGGGGGTACATGGTTTGCCAGTGGTAAAATATGAAAAGGATCTAGGGGTCCTAGTGGACCACAAACATGAGTCAACAGTGTGATGCAGCAGCAGAAACGAAAGGTAAAGGTACCCCCCTGCCCGTACGGGCCAGTCTTGACAGACTCTAGGGTTGTGCGCTCATCTCACTCTAGAGGCGGGAGCCAGCGCTGTCCACAGACACTTCCGGGTCACGTGGCCAGCGTGACGAAGCTGCTCTGGCGAACCGGCACCAGCGCAGCACACGGAAACGCCGTTTACCTTCCCGCTATAAAGCAGTACCTATTTATCTACTTGCACTTAAGGGTGCTTTCGAACTGCTAGGTGGGCAGGAGCTGGGACTGAACGACGGGAGCTCACCCCGCTGCGGGGATTCAGAACCGCCGACCATGCAATCGGCAAGTCCTAGGCGCTGAGATTTTACCCACAGCGCCACCCGCGTCCCTGTGCAGCACCAGAAAAAGCTAATGCTATTCCAGGCTGCATTAACAGAAGTCTAGTGTCCAGATCAAGGGAAGGAATAGTACCACTCCATTCTGCCTTGGTCAGACCACACCTGGAATACTGTGTCCAGTTGTTGTTACTATTATTAATCATAATTATTTATTATTTCTACCCCGCACATCCGGCTGGGTTTCCCAGCCACTCTGGGCGGCTTCCAACAAAAGATTAAAAATACATTAAAACATCAGTCCTTAAAAACTTCCCTAAACAGGGCTGCACGATTTAAGTTCTGGGCACCACAGTTTAGAAAGGATGTTGACAAGCTGGAAAATGTGCAGAGGAAGGTGACCAAGATGATCAAGGGTCTGGGAGCCAAGCCGTATGAGGAATGGTTGAAGGAGCTGGATATGTTCAGTCTGGAAAATAATCAGAATTTTAGAGTTGGGAGGGACCCAAGGGTCATCTAGTCCAACCCCCAGCAATGTGGGAATAGTTCTTTGCTGTTTTAACAGAGCAATAAGAAGCTAGTTTTCAATGGTTTTTTTGTGTGTGTTGTCGGTAGGGCAGAGTTTATACCCTGGGACAGCTCAGTGGGTACAGCCTGAGACCCTTTGTCTCAGAGTCGTGGGTTTGAATCTTACGTTGGACAAAAGATTCCTGCACTGCAGGAGGGTTGGACTAGATGACCCTCGTGGTCCCTTCTAATTCTCTTATTCTATGAGTCTACCTGGGGTAAACTGAGACCCATGAAGCAGGTTTGTGGGAGCGGTGGATCGTATTATTTGTGGGGCGCTGTGATTTCATAGGACGTGACAATTCTGGTGTGTCCCGATTTTTGTTCTTTTTCAAAACCAAGTTTCTAGTCCTCATCGAGGGAGAAAAGGAGCCCAGCTTCAGGGAAGTCTCATTTGTCAGGAGCTTTATGAAAAGTTTCATGACTCCCAACAGGACCTATAGCTGCTAGATCCAGCGCATGAACAAATTATTATCGCCGTGTCCTCTCCAATAGCCCTTAACTCAGGGCGATCAGCTGGGAACTGGTCTCTCCTCAGGTCCTTCACTCACTTCTTCACACGGTGGAGCCAATATCATTTCCCAAATCCCGATATCATTTCCCAGACAGGAGTGCCTGGCGTGCTCTGGTCCATGGGGTCACCAAGAGTCGGACGCGACTAAACGACTAAACAACAACAAAATCTTTCTTGCCATTATTCTCTCGGATTTGAGAACATGGTGCCCTCAAACATCACTGTGAAGACACCGGGGCAGCGGGGTTGGACTAGATGACCTGGTGGGGTCCCTTCCAACTAAAATTCTATGACCACCACCCCTTGGCAGCTGCGGAGATCTTCCTCCTCCTCTTCCCATTTATTTACTTTACATTTGAGGGTTTTCTTTCTGCAACCAGAAGTGGCGAGAATGCAAAATCCAGCCATCCTCTATTTCAGGGGTCAGCAAACTTTTTCAGCAGGGGGCCAGTCCGCTGTCCCTCAGACCTCTACTCATGTAAAAACATGCTGATTCCCGGACCGTCCATAGGCCAGATTTAGAAGGCAATTGGGCCGGATCCGGGCCCCGGGCCTTAGGTTGCCCACCCATCCTCTATTTCCTCCAAATGCTTCTGTGCACCAGGTAGAGTGCACTCTGCTTACTTTTGCAGGGATAAAGGTTGTGCTTTTTGTTTGCTTGGGGAGAATTTTGGAGGCGAATTCTGATTTCCTTTTGTCTTAGATTTATTTCTGGAAGGTCTGAGCACCTTCATTTTTTTCTTCCATGAAAGGACTACAGTCGTACCTTGGTTGCCGAACGCCTTGGAACTCGTACGTCTCGGCTCCTGAACGATCGAAAACCGGAAGTGAGGGTTCCGGTTTTTGAACGGTTTTCGGAAGCCAAACGTCCGGCGCGGCTTCCGATTGGCTTCAAGACGCTCCTGCAGCCAATCAGAAGCCATGCTTTGGTTTTCGAACGGTTTTGGGAGTCAAACGGACTCCCAGAATGCATTCTGTTCGAGAACCAAGGTACAACTGTACAGTGGATGCTCGGGTTGCGAACGTGATCCGTGTGGGATGCACGCTCACAACCCGCAGCGTTCGCAACCCGCGTCTGCATGTGCGGGTTGCAATTCAGCACTTCTGTGCATGCACAAAGCATGATTTGGTGCTTCTGCGCATGCGTGACTGCCGAAACCCGGAAGTAACCCGTTCCGCTACTTCCAGGTTTCAGCAGTCCGCAACCAGAAAAAATGCAACCTGAAGCAGACGCAACATGAGGTATGACTGTACTCAAATGTGCTAGAAATAAGGTTTGGAGAAGGCCATGAGGCAACCAGCGCTTACCAGAAGGGGGTGCCAAACTTGTTGACCCCTTGGGCGCAGTTTGCAAAGTAGGAAAACTGCTATGCATAAAACACACACAAAACCCCACAACCTATTTTATTGGGGAAGGGGGGGCCTGGTGTGGGAAAACTGTGTGCCCGGGGGCACCACCCTGGCAGCCGCACGCAATTTGTGTCCCAGAGATCTCCGCATCAGCCGCTCCATTCCCCAGTTTAAACAGAGTTTGCCAACGGGCACGTTCGAAATTCCGAGAGGGTGCCGTGGAAGGCTGTGGCATCGCCAAACAAAAAACAAAAACGGAACAAGAAGCAGGACTGCAAAACTGCTGGGGGGATGCTCCCCCATGGATAGGAAAAAGGTAAACCTAAATCATCCACAGCCCCAGTCCTCCAAGAGAGACGCACTCTGCCTCTCTCTTCCAAATGGAAAGCAGCACAGGTGCCCCATCCAGGCAGCCAGTGAAATGGGGGCACGATCCTGAGCCCAGTGGGGAGGAGGAACAGCGCAAGAAAGAGCAAACTGCCTCGGCTGAATCACAGGATTTCGAAGGGATATTTTGCTGGAACAGTCCACTGGTGGTACCTGGTGCCCACGGGTCCAGGACTGACTTCTGGCCACGACCCTGGAGAGTTGTGCCAGGCAGGGAAGCCAGTGCCACGCTTATTACGTAGCCCATAGGGCTGAGTCGCCGCGGGCAGCTCCTTCGACCTACGAAAGCCACCCGAAAATGGAGGCTCTGATTCTTGAAGGAGGCGAGCTGACGGAACATCGAGGAGGTTGCTAGTTCATAAGGCCCCAGCCCAGCTTCTTTCGGAAGGGCCGGCCGGCCAGTCTGTGGTCCGCCCTCGCCAGCATCCTTCGCCCTGCTTGCTCTGCTACCAAAAGGTCCACGGAGGCTGCATCAGTTCGTAGGTCGAGATGCTGGTGACGTTTACAGGGATGGAAATGACTGCCCAGGGGAGGCCGTGCTGCTCCAAGGATCGGCGAATCATGTACCTGGAAAGAGGGGGGCAAAGCCATAGTGACTTTGGCCGGTGGACACACTGCATAGTTAAACTACAGAACTCCCTGTCACAGAGGCAGTGATGCTTCTGAATCCCAGTTGCTGGAAACCACAGGAGGCAAGAGGACTCTTGTGTTCAAAACCTGCTTGCGGGATTATAATAATAATAATGATAATTTATTATTTATACCCCGCCCATCAGGGGGGTTTCTCCAGCCACTCTGGGCGGCTTCCAATGGAATATTAAAATACAGTAACCTATTAAACATTATAGTTAAACAGTATAGTTAAAGCCATGGTTTTCCCGGTAGTGATGTATGGAAGTGAGAGCTGGACCATAAAGAAGGCTGATCGCCGAAGAATTGATGCTTTTGAATTCTGGTGCTGGAGGAGACTCTTGAGAGTCCCATGGACTGCAAGAAGATCAAACCGATCCATTCTGAAGGAAACCAGCCCTGAGTGCTCACTGGAAGGACAGATCCTGAAGCTGAGGCTCCAAGACTTTGGCCACCTCATGAGAAGAGAAGACTCCCTGGAAAAGACCCTGATGTTGGGA